TTTATTTTACTCCTGCCTTCATAAAGAGCTACAGAGATATAACAGATAATTACAGAGACTAAAGTACATGTTTTAATATAATTAGGACCAGGCCACCCAAGATGAAAACTACACCATGGAAGAGTCCTACAACCCGGTATTTGAGGCCAATCCCTTTATCAATAGGAAGACCAAGAAGACCAGCACCATTCATATTCTGGTTTTGGATAAAACACCTGATATTGCCTACATCATAGAAACCTTCCTTCCTCCAAGCCTACACCCCACTACCCCCTGTTGTCAGATGCTAGATTATGCTATTACCATTATCCAGTCAACTTGCACACTACTATTTTGAATTAGTGATAATTCAGAGAGAGAGAAAGAATAAAGCTGAATTTAGAGAATAATTATTAATCAGATTCTTGGTTATTCACCAGCCACTTTGCTCCAGTCCATAGCACAAAGCACCATAAACCCAGTAGGATCTGGCCAAGGGAATATTCACCTCAAATTGGCATCTGCTACACTCCCCGCCCTCCCTCCCCCACATTCCCAGTCACCACTATTCAGGATATAACAATCGTCCAATAGATCAATTTGGCACATTAGCCAGGAGGAAGCAGATCGTGAGTGTTTTGGACCACAAACCCCATCCCTCCTGATTCGCAACCCCATGGACCAGTGACAGGTGCATGAGCAGCCAAGTCATTGGAAATAAGCAAGGAGGAAGCCAGTGAAAAAAGTGAAAGTGGCGATTCTGGAATCACCTTGGGTTCAGAGACATGCTCTGTACCCCCAACCCTTACCTCCCTTTTTCACAGATTCACACACAAAAAAGTGAAACAGCGCGCCTCAATCATCCAATAGGTTAGGGTGACCAGACGTCCCAATTTTATCGGGACTGTCCCGATATTTCCTACTTTGTCCCGCGTCCCGACCGATGTTCAGTCGGGACTAGGGTGACTAGATCGCAAGAGTGAAATGTCAGGACACATTGGGCGAGCGGGGCGGTGGGAGGGGACAGGACGACAATGACAGACACAGGTGCACAGAGCCATGAGAGGGGGCCCTAGCAAGCTGCGAGAGGGGTTCTACGGCCCCTGCTGCAGCCCGCACCACAAGCCACAGGGCAAGGACACCTATTGAATTCAATGAGAATTTTGCATGTGAATTGATGTACCTAGTTCTGAGATTATAAAGCCAGAAGGGATCCGGTGATCACCTGGTCTCACTGCCTGTATAGCACAGACATAGAACTTTCCCAAAATAATTCCTAGAGGATAGCTTTTAGAAAAAGCTTTTAGAAAAAGACCATAACCCTTAGTATATTGTTAATCGTTAATTACTCTCACCATTGAAAAGGTATGCCTGATATCCAGCCTGAATTGGTCTAGCTGCAACTTCCAACCCTTGGCTCATGCTCTACCTTTCTCTGCTAGACTGAAGTGCCCATTATTAACTATTTGTTCCCCATGTAGATACTTACAGTCTATAACCAAGTCACTTCTTAACCTTCTTTTTGTTAAGCTAAATAGATTGAGGTCCTTGAGTCGATCGCTATAAGGCATGTTTTATAATCCTTTAATCAGTCTTGTGACTCTTCTCTGAACACTCGACAATTTATCAATATCCTTCTTAAACTGTGCACACCAGAACTGCACACAGTATTCCAGCAGTGGTTGCACCAGTGCCAAATACAGAGATAAAATAACCTCTCTACTCCTCCTTGAGATTCCCCTATTTAGGCATCTGGTCACCCTATTTCTGTATGCATTTCCCCAGGTTTTTTTTGTAAAAATCAAAACTGAACTGCCCCAGAAATTCTGGCATGTGGAATCATCGTGAAACTCGCATGGCTCCAACCCTGCTGATGAACCTTTAGATCCACTGCACAGACTTCTGCCACTTGAGCTAATGGAGTAAGTGATGGCAGAGGGAGTAGGTTGTTATCTTATATGTGATAGATCAGCTCTATAGGGGGATGAAACACTTTTTTTGCCACTGCGTTTCACAGATATCTGCTGACAGAAGAGGAACTGTGAAACTCAGGAATCCTGGGTCTATTCCAGGCTCCTGAATGGAGTGGTCTCTAGTAGTCAAAGACCCTTCTTCCCCGTCCCCTCCAGTCTATGTCTATTCTATTGCTGTCTAACCAGCCCCAGCTCCTCATCTGATTTCAACTGCCCCCACTACTGCTCTGGATTCCTTGTCCCAGTTTCCTGCAATTATTAGACCTGCAATACTTTTCACAATGAACATCAGAGGGGGATAAACTGGGAGTTTAAGAATATTTGGAAAAAAATTTTAGAATAACATTCAGTGCTGTGGTTTAAAAGAAAAAAAACCTGTTAAAACTCATAACTTAGCAGTATTCAGTGTTTGAAAAAAAAACAACTTTTAGGAGCTATGGGATACAAGTTAAGAATGTTGAAACAGGAAGATGTTATGCTTAGTTACCACTTGGGCAAGGCGGCGTGCAATGTAATACTTCCAAGATTTCACTGTAATGTTTTACAATATATAGCAGTGCAATGCTGATTCCATTGATATTGTTGAGCAATTCATGCTGATTTCATTTCAGCCCACATCTTAATAGTTTTCAATACTATAGATCACAATTTTCAGCTCAGTTGGTCTGAACATGCAGAGCTTTAAAACTGCTATGCTCAAAACTGTATATTAACTACAGTTTTATAAACCTGCATGTCAGAGAACTGTGTGCCACTACTACTAGACAGTGGCACAAGGCAATTCAGTGTGAATCACAGAAATGTAGGAGTGGAAGGGACATCAACAGGTCACCTAGTCAAACCCCTGCACTGAGGCAGGACTGAATAATAACAACACTAGACCATCCTTGACAGGTGTTTGTCTAACCTCTTAAAAAACCCCAATGACTGCTATTCCATAACCTCTCTAGGTAATTTGTCCAGTGCTTAACTGCCTTTACAGTTAGGAAGTTTTTCCTAATGTCTAACCTAAATCTCCCTTGCTACAATTTAAGCCCATTGCTTCTTTTTCCTGCATGTCCTGAGTGGGACGGGGGTGAGTCCAGGCAGTGGGAGTGGGGGGAGGGAGGTCGAGGAAGTCAGTGGGTGTGTGGGGATGGACCAGGGGAAGCAGGGTGGAGGAACTGAGGGGGACAGGACTGGGACTGGGGGAGTCTGGCGGGCTAAGGGGGATGGGACAGGACTGGGATGGGGGGAGCAGGGTAGGGGCTGAGGGGAGTATGAATGGAACAGGGTAGAAAGCTGTGTAGAGTGGGGCGTGGCGGGGGAGACAATGGGGCTGGGCTGGGGAGGGTCGGGGGGTTGGGGAGAGGGACAGGGTCTGGAGGGGATGAGACAGAGGGGAGCAGGACTGGAATGGGGGGAAGTTGAGGGGGTGGGCAGCAGGGGGAGCGATGGGGGTGGGATGACAGGAGAGGTTGAAGAAGAGATTTGGGGTAGGGCAGGGACTGAGGGCAGTGGGTTCAGGGTGGGAGGTACAGGGGGGACTGCCGGGGAGGCTGAGGGAACAGGGTCAGGGTGGGGTTTGAGGGCAGTGGTTGAGTCTACACTGGCACCTCTCAGCATTGCTGTGCCGGGCGGCAGACCTGTGCCAGCACTACCCTGGCAATGGAAGAGTCCTCAGTGGAAACCACTTTGGCCTCAACAGGGATAACAGCAAATCTGGACAGAGCAGATGGGTGTCAGGATGGGTTTGGGTATTTATTTATTTTTTTTTTTAAGTGAAAATGTTTGAGTCTGAGCAAAGGCTGCAAACTTCCCTTTGGAAACCTCTGCTGATCTTTTGCCCCATGGACTAACGACAGCCTGGAATCTGGGACAGATTTCCACATCTATGCAGGGTGAGATGATCGGGGGAGGGGAGGGGAAGGACTGTTGGGGAGACTGTTGGAACAGGGGCAGGGACTGAGGGTAGTTGATTGAGGGTGGGGGGCACAGGGAGGACACTGCGGGGGAGGCTGAGGGAACCGGGTCTGGGTGGGGGCTGAGGGCAGTGGGTCTGAGGGGAGTCCCCCCTAGAGGGACCTGCCAGGGGGCCAGGTGAGCCGAGCAGTGCTTACCTGGAGCGGCTCCCAGGATGCATCCAGCAGGCAGGTCCCACTCTGGCTCCTAGCCTAGGGGGGTCGCATCGCTGGCGGGTCGGGTCAGGTGTAGCGACGGAAACCGGTGCAAAACGGGAGGGTTTCTATACATGTCGTCACACCGGCTATTGTGGCTGGGGGTTAGGGTGTCGGAGAGTAGGTCTCTAGTGGGTCTGTGGGGCGGTGCTGTGCAGTGGGGGTTGGGAAGATCTGTGTGTGTTGGGGGGCTGTGCAGTGGGGGAGATCAGTGTGTGTCGGGGTGCTGCGAAGTGTGGGGGGTCTGTGCGAGGCATTGTGCAGTTGTGGCATTGGGACGGTGGGGGGCACTGGGCAGTGAGGGAATCTGTGGGGGGGCTCTGGGCGGGGAGGTGCAGGGCACTGTGCAGTTGTGGGAGGGCTGTGGGGGCTCTCCAGCTAGGGGGCACTGGGCAGTGAGCGGATCTGTGGGGGGTTCTGAGTGGGTGGGGGAGTGGTCTGTGGGAGGGCACTGGGCATGGGGGTTTGTGGGGGTCTCTGGGTGGTGTGGCACTGGGCATAGGGAGTCAGAGGGGTGCTGGGCAGGGGGGTAGCACAGGGGCTTGGGGGATGACAAGAGGCAGGGGCAGCCTCCGACATACTCATGGGGCCCCCGTGGAAAATTGCCCCACTTGCCCCCTCCAGGGCAGCCCTGGCCCTGGCCCTGGCCCTGGCCCTACAACACTTGTATAGGATAGAGAGGAGCTGCGGTGATTAAGCTTTGACAGGCTAGGAATTGGAGACCTGTGCCTTTAAGACCCCAGTCCCAGGAAGCCGCCCCCTGCTCCGGGACTGACATGCAGCATCCTGTGAGCAGAACGAAAACAGCTTCTGCCCCCCCACCACCACTAGATTAGCGAGCACAGTGGGTGCCTCATCCCACGGGGTCACTGTTCCCCCCTCTCCCCTCCCTAAACAGGGGTTTTGTCCCTGCACGGGGTCTGGCAGCGTCTCCCCCCGGGCTTAACCCCAGCTCCCACCCCCGAGTTTTCCCCTTCAGCTCCTCTTCTGCCGCTCGCTACAGTAGCTTGAGCCCCCCTGGCCAGTAAATTACTGTCTCCTGCTCAGACCCTGACAGCCCCGCGCTGCGATTTGCCCCCCTTAATCCTTTTAACTCCTCCAAAGAGAAGGCAGCAAATCGTAAGCAGAAGTAAGGGCAGAGAGAGGGCAGTGGCTACAGCGAAGGGTACTGGGCATGCTCAGTTCGGGTGCGCATGCTCAGTACACCCAAGTAGGGAATTGGGAGCGAGAGCTGTTTGTGTAGGTTCACCCCGCTCGCAGGGAAGGTAAGAGAGACCCGCCCGTCACCCCCGGGCTGCTCCCAGCGGAGCTGGCTGCGATTCCCTGCCTGGGGCCCGGGAAAACTGCCGCCAGC